ATGCCAGTTTGGGGTTTGCTATTCACTGCACTTCCCCCTCCCAGTCCTAACGCAGCTGTGAACCAGCCAAACACAATGACCCTGGGCTCCAGCAGCAACTGATAACACCAGTACTGTTATCGGTGTTCTCCTCATAACAAGTCTGAACTGAAACCAAAACACAGCTATTCAAACTACTGAGAAGAAAATTAACTCAGTCCTAGCAACACTAGGACAATGGTCGAAGTTCTTGATAGTGTATGTTCCTACTCAGTCACTGAAAGATGTGTGTGGCAGTCCTGCAGCCAGATGTTATGATATAAACTAAACACCTTTTGTATTTTTTGAGTAGTGATCCATGTTTTTGTGCAGAGAAAAAATTCTAGAGACAGGGTGTAGTTTCTGGGACAGTGTTGAGGTCTACAAAACTGGAATATTTTAATGTAAACTTGAAAGCTTGATCATTCTAGCAGTGCATCTGTAGTACCTGGGGCACTGTGGTTGTTGGGATCTTGAGAATAACAGTGCAGTTGTGGTTTTCTGTCTATGAAGTTTTAGAAGGTCTATTTTATTCTAGTGGGAAAGAAGAGTTATCATTTCTGTACATAATTAAATAATGCTGGACTGTTACGAGAATAGATCTGAAGCTACGAAATGTCATTAACTGTTGTGCCTCTGTTTAACAGAGGTGATGAAGAAGCGGTTACAACGCACTGAAAGTGATAAGAGAGTTACAGGCTCAAATTGCAGAACTCCAGGAGGATCTCGAATCTGAGAAGGCATCGCGCAACAAGGCGGAAAAGCAGAAAAGAGATTTAAGTGAAGAGTTGGAGGCTTTAAAAACTGAACTGGAAGATACCTTGGATACCACTGCAGCACAGCAAGAGCTGAGGTAGGATCATATGCCTGTGTATAGAAGGCACCATTAAAATTGGTCTTTAATTTCCAGAAGACTAAAATGCTGATTTTGGTAACCATTGATGCTTCCTCTAGGACAAAGAGAGAGCAGGAGGTGGCTGAACTGAAGAAAGCAATTGAAGAGGAAACCAAAAATCATGAAGCACAGATCCAGGAGATCAGGCAGAGGCATGCTACTGCCCTGGAAGAGCTCTCTGAACAACTTGAACAGGCCAAAAGGGTGAGAGGAAAATGAATTACAGAAATAGGTTTTTCTGCTTCAGGACTTTTTATAAGTAACCTAAGTGTGGTAGTCCGTTCCACTGATATCTGCAGACCTATGTTGTCTTTTATGCCTAACAATTGCCACTGAAACAAATATATCCTGCTGCTTTGAATACATTGCAACTATTAGACTGTCTTGGCATCTATCTGAAAAGTGTTCATTAGACTTGGAAAGGGTGCACCTAGGGATAAATTCACGTAGTACTTCTGTGGGAATTATCCAGCAGGCCATGTGCTTATTTGGTGAAAAGCAGTTCTCTGCATTTCTCTGCATGAGTGAGCTGCAGGATGCTTCCAGATAAGGTAATTGTAATGTTGGTGCTCACAAATAACCAACTGTGAGTACAGGTAGTATGGAAGTTCTTCCAGCCACTCTTAACTTCATGCTTGTACTGGGACCTTCAGTATCTTGACAGTGTGCACAGCTGTGTTGTGTTCTCTGGTAACCACCACCAGAGCAGGCAGGAGGAGGCACACCTGAATACCATGGTTCCTAAGAGTGTAGCTTGAGTGTCTTGTTCAAAAGTAGAATTATTCCAAAATAATTCCATTATTACTGCCAAAAAAAAAAAAAAAGTCTCCTTAGTCTGTCAAATGATAGTTCTGGTCATTCACAAGTGTATGTGTGGACAGTTCATATACTGTAGTAATAATTTTATGTAGGGAATACTTCACAAGCTTCCTTAGTTTAAAATACTAAGTGAGAAGCATAGTAGTTAAAAGCTGGTGAAAATTATAGTTTATTCACCTGCGGTTTTTATGCATGTCATCTGCTCCTTATTCATTAAGTGTTCTCAATAAGAGCATGAAAAGATGGAAAAATACCCTGCAATCTTAAACAAAGGTCCTGTGATAAGGTGGTGTCAGTTCTGGTGATGTAGAAAGAATGGCACTTAAACATCCCTTATGCAAATTATTAGTTTTTTAAAAAGGTTTTTAACATTTGTCAGTGCAGTGGGGAAAAGTGCTTTGTTATGCACTTCTGGGCTGCTATGCCTACTAAAATCAGGGTGGCTTTAGCTGATATCTTTCCTTTTATTTCTGTGAGATGAGCCATGCTGATCTGTTAATGGGCACATTCCTTCCTACTTACAGTGCTACTCAAACAGTCATTTCACAGCACTGACATCCCGGATCTTGTTGAATTCATAAAAGTATCTTCTGGTCCTCACTGTTACCTGTGATATCTGAGAGTGGAAGAACTTGCATCAACTTGGTCTTTGGCTAAAATACACAGGATGTGTTACATGGCAGCATTTTAAACACTCACAACTTGCTGAGCACTCGTTTTATCTTTTCAACTTATAAACCTGATTTGCTGGACTGAATATTTTTAGCAGAAAACTTAATTGCTGTGTAACAAAGTGTTGAATTTATTTTCTTTTGTTTTTCCTAGTTCAAAGCAAATCTTGAGAAAAACAAGCAAGGCTTAGAGTCGGACAACAAGGAGTTAGCCTGTGAAGTGAAGGTACTGCAGCAGGTCAAGGCAGAGTCTGAACATAAGAGGAAGAAGCTTGATGCTCAGGTACAAGAGCTAACTGCTAAGGTCACAGAAGGAGAAAGACTGAGGGTGGAACTGGCGGAGAAAGCTAACAAGCTGCAGGTAAGGCTGTATGGAAGTCCTGAACTGCTGAAAAATATGCAAGAAAGTAAAAGCCTTAACCATATACAGAAACAGCTAGGAGGAGTGACTTTCAAAGGTGCAGTGAGGTCTGCAGGACCTGGGTCTGTAGCTGTTGTGGGAGGTGATCTCAGTCATGCACTCGTGTACTTGAGAGGCTTAAAGTGGTGGTGTGCCTCAGGTGGAGATAGCTGGACAGCCGTGACACTAATGGTGATCTTTTTTGGGCTATGTGAGAATTAGAGTAGCTTCTAAGTACATGGCTTTTCATCCTGGTGACCAACCCTGTAGGAGGCTCTGCTGAGAGCTGGCCTACAGGTTTTTTGACTTGGATACAGGTTTGAGTAGATTGGGCTGAGCTCATTTGTAAGTGTGAGCAAAAAGGTACTGATTGATGATGGCCACAGGCTTCCTTTTGTGCTTCGAAGTTGGAAGCTTTACAGATAGGGATTGTAAGTAAGGACCTATTCTTCTCAGAAATGGAGAAAATAGACAAATGCAGTCAGGGTTGACTTGTAAACCACAGCATCAAGTACTTGAGGTAAATCAAGCTAAGGTGCTTCAACAAGGGCATGGCCCAGCTCTTTGAGGGAAAGCTTTCAGACAGTCTCTTACTGCATATGCAAGTAGCAGAGCCTAAACCAGCAAGAGTTGGCACCTGGCAGTAACCTGTTCTCTTGCAGTCATGCTTTAAACCCAGCTGCCACCCTGATAAGCCCAGAATTAATGGTTCTGTAAAATATATGGTCCTTTAATTAAAAATAGCATTTAAGTATGAGTGCAGATACTGGAATGACATGCTCTGCTAAACAGCATGCCTAACTCTGTGATACCCTTAAATTCAAAATTGCCATCCAACTTCGTTCCTGACTGAACTTCAATATTTGTAGCTTGTTGTGTCTCAGCATGGGATCTATTGTTGTCTTGCCATACCAGGGATTTGTTGAGGTTTTGGGTTCTGCAGTTCCAGCTCACAGAGGGATGTAGGCTTTGCTGTGAGTCAGCTGCATGCTGTTACCTTCAGACTGCTTGCTTTGCAGAACGAGTTGGATAATGTCTCAAGTCTCCTGGAGGAAGCAGAGAAGAAAGGCATCAAGTTTGCCAAGGATGCGGCTAGTTTGGAATCTCAGCTTCAGGATACACAGGTGTGTGTGTGTGCAGTGAAGCTTGAACTTTGCACTGAAGCTTTGTTCCTCATTGAAATGCTGACTGCATAACAGAAAATACATTTTCAGTTATGGTTTGGAAATTCCCTTGGGTAGAAGCTGTATTTCCTATTGAAGTCTTGTGAAATGTGATGTCTATTGCCTGCTCAACTACACGTGGAGCCAATTTTTCATTATCTAAGATTCACTACTTGATAGACTGTAGCCTTTCAGTTTCTCTTTTATTTCTTAATCTCTGTGGGAAATAAACATTAAGTCAAAAAAAACTTTCCAAGTAGAATGTTAATGTAAATAGGATTCTAGGGGTATAAGAGAGGCACAAGGGACATTACCCTGTCTTTTACTGACAGCTAGTGTTTGGTTTTGAGTTAAATAATGCAGTTTTATGCATGTATTCAACACTTAAATAGACTCCTCTCACCACTCTCCCCTGCTAACAGTGACTACTTCAATAATGTTAATCACAACTGGAGAGGTCTCTGAGGAACAGGATGGGGGAGGGAGGATGGTGGTTACACCCTTTATTAGTTTCTGTTATGGCAGAAGTTTCCACTGCCAAATTACAGCTATCTTTAAACTGACCTTTCTATTTAAGGAATGCAGCAAAACCTGGAAGCATGCTGCCATTGCAGGATTTGCTGCTATATATTCTTCCCAGGTGGTTTCAAATAGAAACTCTTTGTGTCTGAAAGAAGAAAAATAAATTTTGAAGGTCAACTTCTGTGCTCATACCTTTAAAGATGGAAAAGATCCATTAACTTCTAGAACAGACAGTGGCATGGATTCCCTGATCAGATATATGCTTTAAAAAGGTGTAAGCGTGCCCAAAATGAACGAGCAGTGCCTTTTTGAAAACCCAAGTTACAGATGGCTTCATAATCATGTCCTTGTACAAAAATGCTGTGAGAAAAATAATCAAACCTGAAACTCCATATAGGATAATGGAGGGTGGTAGCCCAAGGCCACAGTTAACATCCTGTGAACCAAACTGAACGTTGAATATGTCTGTCTGTGTAACAGGAGCTGCTGCAGGAAGAAACCCGCCAGAAACTCAACCTGAGCAGTAGGATTAGGCAGCTGGAAGAGGAGAAGAACAACCTGCAAGAGCAGCAGGAAGAGGAAGAAGAGGCCAGAAAGAACTTGGAGAAACAGATGCTCGCCTTGCAGTCACAGGTAAGCTGTTGGAAATGGTAGGACTTCTGGAAGGCCTACGTGTTCCAGGTGAGATTAATCAGTGTCCCAAACCTGTTGGAAAAATACCATGCAATTTGCACACATGCTAGACCAGATTTGGGAATAAAATTTCCTGTGTTCTTTCTCCATTGCAGTAATGACCAGTACAACTAACTGCAATGGGCAAGACTTTCCCCTACTTAATATCCTGCTAGCTCACAATTTTTCTGTTACTTTAGCTATCAGTAACATCTAATTCTGGTTTTGGGTTTTGGACCTGATGACATTCTTTCCTTCTTGTGATGCACTAGGGAACATTATTTTCTTTTATTGGATTTCAGTTGGCTGATGCTAAGAAAAAGGTAGATGACGACTTGGGAACCATTGAAGGCTTGGAGGAAAATAAGAAGAAATTATTGAAGGACATGGAGTCCTTAAGCCAACGCCTAGAGGAGAAGGCAATGGCTTATGACAAACTGGAAAAGACAAAGAATCGCCTGCAGCAAGAGCTGGATGACTTGATGGTAGATCTAGATCATCAGCGCCAGATTGTTTCTAACTTGGAGAAAAAGCAGAAGAAGTTTGATCAGGTACTGTAGTTTCCTGTCATCTTGCTGCTTACTATGATTTTTAAATGGCATCTTGTTTATATTGTTACTGCATAAATAATCCTTTTATAAAGAAGGGTCTGACCAGAGTACTGTGTTTATTGATAAATCTTTTATGATCAGTTTGGCCTTTGTTAAGAGTAACTTGTCACTTACAGTTTCAGTGAGTTAAATGCCAGCTTTGAGTCTTGTTAGATCAAGTAATAAGCTCTTTATACACAAAAAGGAAATTATTGGAACAAGAACTTAAGAGTATTATTGTAATCTCTCAAGATAGACTAAGAAAAGATGTGGAGACTGAAAGATGAAAATAATATAAAACTTATTTAATCTTGATTAGTAGCTTGCTTTCCTCATCTCATCCCAGAGTAGCTGTGGCTGTTTTCTTACTAGCACTTTGATCAAGATTGAGAGACTAGACAGCTTCTGAAGGCCAATTAAACTTAGAGTATTAACCACTTCATTGACTAAAACACCACGAAGGACTTGGTTATAGAACTTATGAGATGGTTTAACTATTTCTTATGTTCAGATGCTGGCAGAAGAAAAGAACATTTCTGCCAGATATGCAGAGGAAAGAGATCGTGCTGAAGCAGAAGCAAGGGAGAAGGAAACCAAGGCACTCTCTCTGGCTCGGGCTTTGGAAGAAGCCCTGGAAGCCAAGGAAGAATTTGAAAGGCAGAACAAACAGTTGCGTACAGATATGGAAGATTTAATGAGCTCTAAAGACGATGTGGGCAAAAATGTAAGTACTTTTCCACACCATGTTTTGTTATAAACTGCATAGGGAATAACACAGGAAAACTCCCTGGCTGGAGAAGTATGTTTGACACAAAAATAGAACTTCTTGAAGCTGATTTATAGCCCACAATTCTGGAGGAATTAATGCTCAGAATAAGGGGGTGGTCTTTATTAACATCAGGCCTCTTCAAAAGATATGGATGCATGGAGAGCAGAAGCTGCTGGCCCAATGACTCATGGCACTGCACTAGATTTAAGAGCTTGTCTCACTGCTACTTCTTCTCTGTGACGTTGCACAGCTCATCTCTGCAATCATCTGCATGGATCTTTGTTGGGTTCTCTCATACAAACTTAGAGATGCTGCTCTGCCTGTTCTGATTCATTGTCCAATTCAGAGCATCACAAAATGTCATGTACTGCATTAATTAAGGTACGATTTTGCTGTTAATAACTGCTGATATGGAGGTACCTGAAAGAGAGGGTCTGATTAATGTTTGTGGCTTAGGTCCATGAACTGGAGAAGTCAAAGAGAACTTTAGAGCAACAAGTTGAAGAGATGAGGACTCAGCTTGAGGAACTGGAAGACGAACTGCAGGCCACAGAAGACGCTAAGCTTCGTTTGGAGGTGAACATGCAAGCAATGAAAGCCCAGTTTGAGAGAGATCTGCAAGCCAGAGATGAACAGAACGAAGAGAAGAAGAGGATGCTGGTTAAGCAGGTATGTCTGTTTTACTGTACTTCATAGGGAGAAGGGTGTGAAGATCTTTTGCCAAAGCTCTGTGGCTTTGGTGATAACTTGCTACGTGAAAAATAAAACTCTTTGCTTAAAGATCCCATCCTATAGAAATCTTTATTTCTGATCTTTACAAACAATAGAATAGGTCTCGTTGAGGACTGGCCACTGTCAACTGTTAGTGTTAGTCTGCTACTAATGGTCCTCCAAAAGCACTCAGCATACAAGCAGAGGTTTGGCTATTGCCACGTGGGTGTATTTCAGGGACAGGGGTGTGTTGTTTGATCTTCCCAGCCCATCCTATTTGATGTGCAGGAACAAATCCATGGATGCTGAGATAATGACAGTCTTTCAGTCTAAGTGAACCGTTTCCTAAATGAAAATCTTGGCAAAGATTCCAGATTTCTCAGGCTTGAGAATTCTAGTAACACAAAGCAAATAAGAAGAGTCTCAAGAAATGCCTTTAAATAAAATTTTATGCTTGTAAGTGAAGATGGTTCTAAATTAACATTAAGCTTTAAGGAAAAAAACACCCAATATTTAAAGATTTATCACAAGAAAAAAAAAAATGCACAATTACTGAGAATCACCAATATAGAAATAAACATAGCCTGGAGGCTTTGGAAGTTCTCTGCAAAATTGCTATTACCTGGCACTGGACAAAAGCTCTTGGCCGAGCATGAGGAGAGGAGACTTGCTTCAAAATAAACCATATTCTTTCTTGTTGGTAACCTGTGGCATTTCTGGCTCAGTTTTATTTTGTGGAAGTTTGGCTTAGTTCATGTTGGCTTGTGCTGAGTTAGTTTTCTGTTTTGTTTTGAAATAAAGCTGTAGGTATATCAATGCCAGTAGTGTAGCTGTTTCAAAGGGAATTATTTCACTTTTTTTTTCTTGAAAAAATGAGGTGATTCTACTTCTTATTTTCTTCTTAGTGGTTCAATCAGTATTAGTGACATCTGCCCCAGAGTCATACCTAAATGTGGATAGATGTGCTGGGCAAGAAGCTGATCACTAAGTAGCTGAACAGATCACAGAATCACAGAAAGTTGGGGATTGGAAGGGACCTCGAAAGATCATCCAGTCCAACCCCCCTGCCAGAGCAGGAACCTCAATGAGATCACACAGGAAGGTGTCCAGGCGGGTTTTGAATGTCTCCAGAGAAGGAGATGAAATGGAAATGCCTGAGAAGCTGAATTATTGTCTTTTGTTTTCCTTTTTGCCAGTTCAGAGATCTCTGCTTCCAGTCTGTGGATTTGTTTTTGCCACCTGCAGTGTCTTCCCACCTAGCTTGCATCCTGTAGTCTTCTCCAACTGAGTAATGTTAGTTCTGCTCTGCAAAGGTCTCTTGGAGTCACTGACCACTTTGTTGGTATTTCACGTTTGCTCCGTCCCTGGAACTGAGCCTGTTAATCGCGTTGATTTCACAGGTGCGAGAGCTGGAGGCAGAACTGGAAGATGAGCGCAAACAGAGGGCTCTTGCTGTGGCAGCCAAGAAGAAAATGGAGATGGATCTGAAAGACCTGGAAGGTCAGATAGAAGCTGCAAACAAGGCTCGAGATGAAGCAATCAAACAGCTACGTAAGCTGCAGGTAGGCACAGCTCATCAGTGGAGCTGCTTTCCCTCCTGGTGACAGTCTGTCACCGGTGTTGCTTTTCCCTAAACGCATTTGTAGCTTGAAGGCAAAGGGAGTATCAGACTTGACATATGTCACAGAGAATCTGGCCTAAACTTATCACCAGCTCAAAACTCATCTCATCCTTTTGTCGGTAAGGGGTTAAGTTTCTCCCCCATCTCATTCTATTGGGTAGTCGTTATTTTCTGTATTTCAACATTTTGCATAAGGATTTACTGAGCATTGCTTTCTAGGCTGCATTTTTAAATCTATGGCTGTTTGTATCTTTGACTTTACTGATTTGAGCTCAGCTCTTGTTGACTGCTGCTTCCTCAAGTTGGTGAACTTTTTAAGGCGTTTTCAGCCAAAAATGCTGTAGAGAAAAAGAAGGGGTAAATTTTCATTGCATTTAAAAAGCTCCAAGATGCCCACTCTTTTAGTTTTGCAAGAAAATAACAATCCTCATGTCAAGGATTTATTTTTCATTACCAGAAAAATATTAAACATTTGGTACAGTTCAGTTTTGACCAAAATTTTCAGTGTCATGGCCCAAAGCTGCAGGAATATGAGGCCGTGGCAAGACCATGTAACGCATACGGCACATTAAATTGCTTTTCTTCCCTGTCCACTTTATTCTTTGACAATCCTACTTCAAATTCTGTTTCAGCTGACTGAGGCCAGAGGAGGCCACAAGGATGATGCGAGGGCTGGAGCAGCTCTGCTGTGAGGACAGGCTGAGAGAGTTGGGGCTGTTCAGCCTGGAGAAGAGAAGGCTCCAGGGAGACCTTCTAGTGGCCTCCCAGTACCTGAAGGGGCTCCAGGAAGGCTGGGGAGGGACTTTGGCCAAGGTCAGGGAGTGACAGAACAAGGGGTGATGGCTTGAAAGTGGCAGAGGGGAGATTTAGATTAGATGTGAGGAAGAAATTCATGGCTGTGAGGGTGGTGAGATGCTGGCCCAAGATGCCCAGAGAAGCTGTGGATGCCCCCTCCCTGGAAGTGTTGAAGGCCAGGTTGGATGAGGCTTTGAGCAACCTGGTCTAGTGGAAAGTGTCCCTGCTGCTGGCAGGGGGGTTGGGACTGGATGATCTTTAAGGTCTCTCCCAACCCAAACCAGTCTGGGGTTCTATGAACTCTGGAACTGAGCCCTGGATGAAGAGGGAGCATTAGGTTAGAGCAAGAAATGCTGGTACCCAGCAGTTAACTCCTCTAGTCCAAGAGGACAGGACAGCCAGAGAGTCCATACCTGATCTCTGTACACTTTCATACAAGCACCTGAAATAAGTGGTCTCATGACTGGTGGCATTCTAAAGATGCAGGGACAACTTAAATGCAGTTTCTCCAACTTTTGTACTCACGTTGAACTTGTGCAGATTAAGATCTTAGTCTGTGTTGTGTTCCTTCTGAAGGGAAGGGTAAGTGTGTGCCACTAGGTGTGCAGAATGGTGCATTGTGTTACTTCTGCACTGAGAATAGTTTCTTACCTTACATACTTTTAATAAATTTTGGGGTTTTTAGTAATTTTAAATTATTTTTTTACCAGTCATTCCACAAGCTTTACCTCTTGTTACATGACAAATGTAATTGAACAGCTCTTTATTGGAGTTTTTTTTTTCCTACAAGAAATACACCAGTTAAAGGAGATGATGTCTTATAATGTGGTATTTCTGACAAGGAGCTGAGTGAAGGAAAGATGAGAAAATGAAGTTTTACTATGAAAATAAGAACTGAAAATGCATTTGTGTGGAATGAAGCCATGTGGGGAGGAATATCTTGCCTCTTAAGGGCCAAAATGCTTCAGAGCTTCTAATAAACCTTGTGATTGATCTAATGCAGCATGGCTTTTTCTTTCCCCCGCTTTCCAACTGCAGGCTCAAATGAAAGACTACCAGCGGGAGCTGGAAGAAGCTCGTGCATCCAGAGATGAGATCTTTGCACAGTCTAAAGAGAGTGAAAAGAAGCTCAAAGGTCTTGAAGCAGAAATACTCCAACTGCAAGAGGTGAGATTGAAATTGAATAAATTTGTTTTTCTTGCTAGAGTAAGGTGAAGATCAGAGAGTAAAAAAAAAATAAAAAGCAACCTAGTGAATTAAACAGAGAAATGAGAAATGAGAGCCAGGAGAACTTTCACTTCCCACCTGCCCCAGGTTATCTGTGAACTTCTTAGTGTTGTAGGACTCATTCTAGTAGTCTGGATTTCATTTCTCTGCCTGGGTAGCAGGAAAGTTTTACCACTGCTTGAACAGATTTGAGGCTTCACTAGAACGTGTAGGGTGGTTTGATAGTCTCTAAATGGTGCAGCACACAGTGTCAGTCCTAAAATTGATTACTGGAAACTTTAAAAACCTAACAATCTCTCCAGTACCTCAGTGGACCGTTTAAGTCTGTGGAGGTTTTTCACTCTGCCCTCTTAGATCCTCATCCCTTTCTCTTACGGGCACATGTTCCCTCATTGTTGGCAATTTTTGCAAGAGCTCCAAGTCTTGCTCTGTATTGCTGATCTTCCATTATCTCCTTGGTCTGCCACGAGGTCAAACATCAGCAGAATTGCCTTGTGTGAGAGGCTGCCTCTTTTTTTTGTCCTACATTAACTGCAAACCAAAGTTTGAAGCGATCACTCAGATTTTACTACACTTGTTGTTTGAGCCTTTACAGATAACCCAGAACTCACTGGAGCTTCTCCATGTTGTTCTTTTGTGGACTTCAGGCTTGTCAGTCTTGCACTTGCAGTGCATTTAATTGTCTGTCTTAGCAAATGCTTGGATGTTTCTACCACTTAATACAGTTTTATAATATGGGATTCAGCGCTGCTTATACTGTTGTGCTAAAGCTTTTATTTTTTGTACTTTGCTTGCATCCATGCTGTATACTCTGTAAAAACCTAGAGAATTTGCTTAATTTAGTGCCCACTTTATGCTGAAGGTGTTTATTAGAGCATGTGACAGAATGGTTTTCTCCTGCTGTTTTGGGTTTGAATGTTACTGATTTTCAAAGATTCCCCCCCCACCCCACCTTAACTTTATGCAAAGAACACTTGAGGGATGATAGATAAATCCCTTGTAGTCATATGGCAGTTAAAGGGGAGGAAATACCAAGATAATGTGTCCTGCTAGCTCCTACAGCTGTTCCTTGGGCTTATCCATTAAAAGACCTCAGGGATATCACAGAATGTTGGGGATTGGAAGGGACCTCGAAAGATCATCCAGTCCAATCCCCCTGCCAGAGCAGGAACCTCAATGAGATCACACAGGAAGGTGTCCAGGCAGGGCTTGAATGTCTCCAGAGAAGGAGACTCCACACCCTCCCTGGGCAGCCTGTCCCAGGGCTCTGTCACCCTCACTGTAAAGAAGTTTCTTCTCAAGTTTAAGCAGAACCTCCTGTGTTCCAGCTCACACCCATTGCCCCTTGTCCTACCATTGGGCATCACTGAGAAGAGCCTGGCTCCATCCTCCTGACATTCACCCTTTACATATTTATAAACATTAATGAGGTCACCCCTCAGTCTCCTCTTCTCCAAGCTGAAGAGCCCCAGCTCCCTCAGCCTTTCCTCATCAGGGAGATGCTCCACTCCCTTAACAGCTCCCACTTCACAGCTTCTCCCAGAAGTTAGTAGAAGGCCAGACTGTTAGCAGAAGTTTTGAGATTCCTAATGCTGTCATGACTCTCTTCCTAAACCTTCCCAGGAGTTTGCTGCGTCGGAAAGAGCCCGTCGTCATGCTGAGCAAGAAAGGGATGAGCTGGCTGATGAGATTGCAAACAGTGCTTCAGGAAAGTGAGTCATCAAATGTTTTAATTGTGCATCTGAGGAACTTCAGGCACCAGCAGCTGTAGTTCTCTTGTGAATTCTGTATTGACCTGTCTTCATGAGAAAAATTCCCTGTTGTTATGAAAGAGAATTGCTGACACAGTAGCTTTTAATGACAGTTTGCAAGGCCTAAAGTATCAGAAGCGAAACAGCCTGTTGCTTTGTATCAGATCTGAACACGTCTTGACCCAAATACTTCCTTTCTAGGTCAGCGCTGCTGGACGAGAAGCGCCGGCTGGAAGCTCGTATTGCACAGTTGGAGGAAGAGCTTGAGGAAGAGCAGAGCAACATGGAGCTTCTCAATGAGCGATTCCGAAAGACCACGCTGCAGGTGAACCCCTTGTTGGCAGTCCTGTAGGGGCAGTTTGTGTTTCCATGTGCAGTTAAGCAGGGGCTCTGAATAGCTCTTGAATAGCAACTTATCTTCTCTTCTCCTCCTCTGGAAGGTTGACACGCTTAATTCTGAGCTAGCTGGGGAGCGGAGCGCTGCCCAGAAGAGTGAAAATGCCCGGCAGCAGCTGGAAAGGCAGAACAAAGAGCTGAAAGCCAAGCTGCAGGAACTGGAGGGATCTGTGAAGTCCAAGTTCAAGGCAACAATTTCTACCCTAGAAGCCAAGATTGTGCAGCTAGAAGAACAGCTTGAGCAGGAAGCCAAGTAAGGAGAAAAAAGGAAAAAAATAATCTGTTTGTCTGTTTGCTTTGTCAGTTCAGTGTCTGAAACCTCCACGCCTTAAGTTCTTGTAGGGCTGAGATGTGAGTTTACAGCACAGGCATTAGGGTTTATTATCTGGAAAGCTGCTGTTCAGGGGACACGCTTGAACAAGGCAACTGTAAAGTGACTGAGGCTGAAAGTTTCAGAATCTATTTGCTCTGTAACTGAAACTGCTGAATTGACTCTTGAAGTTAACCAGGTGGATGTGTTTGGTAGTTCCAGGACCCACAAGGCGCTACAGAAGTTTCTTGAGACAAGGTGAAACATCCCCTTGAGACACCTGGTCTATTTGCTTAGAGGAAGCAAGTTGAACAGCTTAGGTGTGACAACTTAGCATAGTTGAGATGAATCCTGTGCTCTGCAGAAGTCTTTCTGCAGTGAGTTCTCCTGTCTATCTTTGCCATCTTGGTCCTCCAAATATATATATATATATATTTATATATTTTTCTATTTATTTATTTTAAGCTAGTTCCTCCCAGAGTCTAAAGGAGGACTATCTTATCACCATCCCTGTTCTTTTTGTGCTTCTGGCTCTGTGGGAGGACCATGTTACTGGTTAGAAATAACTTTAAAGCTTATCTGTTCAATCTCATTGTGAAGAAGCACCTTCTTATCCCTTTTTTGATGCTATGCTGCTATTGCTCCAGTGCCAAGACTTCATACCTTCAAAGTTTCATCCCAGCCAACCACCAGCACGCTAAAGCTAAGCCAGTTCTGCTGAGGGTGGCAGGGATGTTGAGAGGACTCAAGTATCAGTTACACAGTGAGGCGAGAGCCTTTCAGAAAGGACAGATCTTGTGTTCCCAGCCTTCGAGTACTGGGAGAAATGA